ACTTTTTAAATACTCTCTTAAATTCTAAATACTACATTCGTTAAAGTATGAAGTTGTCGAAATCAAAATTTGATAATATTGAATTTTAATTTTTCATACAATTAGATTAGATTTTAAGTAGTTAAAAGGATACAAGTTTCTGATATATATACGTATATATATTTAATGATTTGATATACTATTTAAATAGCAAATGCACTAATACTTTTTTGCTTTGTTTCTAATAAGTGTTATCATCTTTTTAATAATGCATCTTTCATTTCAAAGATTTGATTGTGTATTTTTTATTTGACACAAAAAAATTATAAATAAAAGTTTCATAGAAAAGAATATTATCAAGAAAACTTAGCATTTTCGATCAATTATATATCTTGACCTTCTCCTTCTTGTCTCATATTATAGTCATTAATTATTGTTCGAAAAGTTTTTATTTATCTATTCTTTCAAACAACACGTTAAAGAAAATGTTTATGAATTCCATTTCCATAAATAAGTAACTGCCAACGATCATCAATAAATGATGTTAAATAAAGTATCAAATTAATATTTTGATTTTCTTTTAATCGTAATAATGAAGGAATAATTAGAATTGCAACATATATGTGTTAAATTCATTGCATAAAGAACAAAACGAAATTGATCGTTTTTATTTTTAATAACAAGACCAAATTGTGAACCAGATAGACTAACACGACCATATTGAATATCTAAAATAGTAATAATCAAAATTAAATAGAAATCAAAATATAATTTATTATATTTTACCATCATCATCTTTATTACTAAGTTTTCTTTTGATCAAATTTTTATTAAATTTTATTTTGTTAATGAAATATATTTTTATATAATTTTTTTTGAATCATGACAACAAATAAAAATACTTTCATCTTGTACAATATAAGTCAAAGAAATAAGATGATTTGATTGAGTACCATGAATTTTTTTAATCGTAGTATTTATTTCTTATTAAATTATTTAAAAAAAACAATAAAAATAAAAATCTAATTACCTACTAAAGTACCATTAACATTGTATAAGATAAGTTCATCTTCATCATATATAAGAATTTCATCTCGTTTTGAATGACATGCCATAGCACAATAAGTTGATGAAAAACTATACAATTGTACAGATACTGTTCACGATAATGAGCGATGAACTGTTGAATAGAACGTAGGTGTATCAAGTATATTTGTTGAAGGACATCTTTTAAGATCATAAATTGAACCTGTTGTAAAATCAAATAGGTAATAATCGATTCGACTGAAAAGGATCAAATCAAACTTGAATAGATGTTGGTAAATATGTTTATAACTGACTAAGACAAAAATCAAATAATCTATTTTACCTGTATATGTTGAACATGTAAACGAATATCGTCTGCTATTGAATTTTATCGAATTGTATCTCTGTTATACAAGGTTCATTTCAATTTGCCGATGGATCTAAAAAACATGTGTTATTTAAGATCTTATCAGTTGCTTTATACTTACAACGAAGAGTAAAAACTTTTAATTGATGTGGCATTGTTGTTATGGTAAGGTACAACTTTCTATTTCATTCATAAGTTATAGTACTATTAAATTTATTTTCAATAGTACATATAATTGAAAAATTTCGACGTAAACTATCGTTGCAAAGAAACAACAACGCCAATAGATAGGAATGTGATGTCTTTTTTAACCCAGTCCGGTGTCTCTTGACCAGGTGTGGCTTCATAGATGTGGACAACATGATATGGGACACTCATCTGAAATGCAATATTATCAAAAGATAACACATTATTTTCCAGGTGGATTATTTCTATTTTGAGTATGAAATTTTTATTAGAATTTCTCAATTATTTCCGCTATGGTTTATCATCAATCACAAAAACATAAACAACTTTATAAATCAATAAATCATAATGAAAATTCATCAATTGTTAAATATAATCATCTTATTACACTGGATAGTTCAAAAGTTCATGATAATTATATAGAAGAATTTTTATTTAATACAAAAATATATTTTCATAATAATATTCGTCTTTATATTAATTATTAATCATTAGAAAGAGTGACACACAAGTTTACAAGAGACGATAAACGAATTAATTGTGCTAAAATAAATGAAATTTATCTATTCGGAGAAAAAAATTATTCCAAATCTGTACAAGATCATTTTGCTTTTGCAATAATACATTGATCATTACTTTAGTAAAACAAATTTATTATCTTATTGAAAGATCAAATATTTCAAAAAAAAAGCAACAGAAAAATATTTATCTAAAAAGAAGTCAATATCATTATGTGTGAAAAGTTTTTATCTGTTAGCAAATTGATTTATATTGCTAGAAATCACTGTAAATCAGTTTATTTTTCCTTAATTTGACTAACATATTTATTTATCAGTATGAATGAGAAGAAACTGTCACTAAAAAAAAGATCATTTCTAAACTGAATTCGTTGATGAAGTAACCTTATTCTTACCAAATAGCCTAGAATAAATTTGAACAATCCATAATTTTGTTTTCCTCACCTGATCTTTTTCACATCTTTTATCTAGACACTCATCACACGAAACTTTTCCTCAAATCAAATCATTGATAAGGAAGCACAAAAATTTCTTAATGCTATATGACAAAGTCAAGTTATAGTATATCTTGTTTTTTTTTCATGCAAACACCTATTACTCTGTGCTTCAGAAAAGAACAAATAAATGTCAATAATGAAAGAATGTTCTTTACCAGACTTCCTTGAAGGAAATCTAAAACTCTCTTCGTCATGTTTGTTTTTTTAAATAAATAAAAGCTTTCCAGAGATTATCCACATAAAAGTTCACTAAAATAGATCTGTTAATTATAAAAGTTTTTACTTTGACAAAAAAAAAATTGACTAAGAGTTATTTTAGGTTCAATCTTAATTCAATAAAAAGAGTTTTTTATAAAAACAATTGTTCACTTAGATAATAATCCATGTGATTGACAATTATTATATTTGTCAAGATAAAATTCTTAATTGATATTTGATGGGAAAAAAAATTTGTTCATTTATTATTGAAAATTTTTCTACTAAAGAATATTGATCATTGAAATTTATACTAAAATAATTAAAAATATTTGAATAATTAATATAAAATTTTACTAAAAAGATAAAAAGAAGACTACATTCATCTGATTGATCAATAAATTAATATGAATTATTTTTATTTAAATAATCAATTAGAAAATGAACTCAAATTAATTAATATTAATAAATTTTAACATTTTGTAAAGTCAATAATTGAGAGTCATATTTACACTAAAACAAGTATCAAATCGAAAATTTACAAATGAGGCAAATGATTCCATTATTGACTAAGAGAAAAATATTTTATAATAATAAAGATTTTATCTCAAAAAAAAAGAAACAAACTGGAAGTAACACTGTCATCATCTGATAATAATTAAAAAGCTAATTCTCATACTTGTCAAATTTTGTAAAAAGAATAGTTTCTTTTTAATAAAATAAAATTTCTTTTCTTTATTTATAATTTTTGAATACTAATTTGTGATTGTGGTATATGGATTGAGTGAAGAAAAATATTATTCTCATATTCAATAGAAATGATGTTTTGCCAGGTTGACATATAAAGCAAGATAAATCTTATCTTAATGATTGAATAGAGTTTTGATAATGTCTACTTCAAACAAGGTTACTATTTGCGAAAACCAAATGTTCTATTGAACGCATTTTTCTATAATTATTTTCTCTAAATATTCTTACTTCTAGCCGGAAATTTATACATATGTCTTTTTTTGTTGTGACTCTCATGTACAAGTGCAATTTTATTTTTCTTCTCTCTCTTTTCTCCATTCTGAATCATTTTATTTGAAGCACAATAATCACATTTTAAAAACAAACAAAAGAATTTTTTTCTAAGTTGTTAATGAAGAAAATGTTGAATAACAACCACAAAGGATTACTTCTCTAGATAGTTGAGACAAAAAAAGCAATAACTATGTTTATGAGTTATGCTTTTAATGAAGAACGGTAACGATTGATTATTGTGGATGGCTTATGAGAATTTCATAAATTTCTCAACGTTATTTTAAGAGACAATCTATTACTAGATCGAGAAATCATTTCATCTGAAAAATTTTGCTTTACATCTTTTCGATAATATGATATAAAAGAGCATATAAAATCTACCTATATATCCAAAATGTTAGCCTTGCTTTAATGTCTATTGGCTAAATATGAAGGACATATTGAACATGACACAAGATCTTTAAAAATTTTTCCTCGCGCTCAAAATTTTCAGCAACAATGTCGATCTAAAATCTATTAAAAATACTTCTTAGTTTAATTACTCAACTGACGATGGGTGTGAGTCGGAGTGTAGGTGTATGCCTGATCCCACACACACACTAATAGTATTACATTATTATTCGTCGACCTATGGTCATCATGATAAAATCCAATAGTACCCACATCACTATATTTTTTAAGAAATTCTGATGTTGATTGGCCATCCTATTGAAAGAAATCAATTGAAAATTCATGTTCGATTTAGAGAACAAAATATACTTGGCATAATTTTAGTGTAAGTTCAGAAGTAGTTTTTCTGGCAGACTATCGATCGGAATCAAAAAATCATATGGATTTCTCCAATTAACCAGCATGACCTATGCAAAAAAAAAGGAATTTTCAAAACTATTTTTCCTTTTTCTTGTTTTTCTTATAATTCATTCTACTTGTTCGACCAATACGACGAATATAAGAATCACTTGTATCCAGTAAATCATAATCAACAACAAAATCAATAAGACCATTTGTAAATTGTTCTACAGTTTCCTTTCGTTGTTAGTGTGTTTGATTTTCATGGAATGTTATACTCATGAAAAGTTTTTGTAAAAGTAATGTGCCGATAGAATCAGCTGATCGTTGTGTTTCAACAAATATCAAACAACGTTCAGATCTTGTTTCTTTGTAAGTGGCACTTCTTCTATTCTATGTGCTACATCGACATTTGTACTCTCATAGAAAAAAAATATAATCTTCACGAAGGACATATTTTGCTAATTGTTGTAATTGGTTAGAAAATGTTGCGAAAAATATCCATGGAACACGTTCTTCTTGTAATGATAAACCAAGACTTGCTAATTTTCGTATATCAAGTTCCAATTCTGTATCTAATATTCTTTAGAAAAACAAAAAAACCGTAATCAAAACTAGGTTCAACACCATCGGTGTCGTTTTTATATACCGGTTAGTTTCATCTATAACGAGAAATTTCACTTGTGTTTAGTGAAACTGAAATAAGGAATCCTGTAAAACTTTGAATACAATCCACTGAATTATAATTTTACTTGGACTTTTCCTACCATGTCTTGAAGACGATCCGATACAGTAAACATATCATGACCACCAGCAGCAATGCGATGTAGGTGCAAATAATAATCACCCGGACATTTTACGAGAATACATATTCTCGCTGTACGTTTATGAAGTAACTTACATGGTACCACAGCAGTTCGATATGTGATTTTTCTTGCTTCATCTTCTGTTTGTAAAACATGTTGACATGTAGGTGATACAATAAGGCAAAGTGGTGATGACGGATGTTTTCGATTAGATAATTCATCAGCATGACATTCAAGTAAAGGATGAGTAGCCGTTAAAAAAACTTGCTGATCTATCACATCCAATTTGAGCACAAAACCAATAAATCACCTCGTTATTGAAACCTTCAAAGTGAGCAAGACGAGTATTTGATACAATTTGTGTGTCAACACTAGCTTCTTCATTTAATTCAATTGATTTGACTTTGTCTAATGAAATATAAAAAAGTCATTGTTGAACTAAACATTAAAAATAAAATAAAGAATACTATATTATCTAATGGTAGATAAAAAATTTATATTCTAGGGATATTTCCAAAGTCTTCATCCTTTCTTATTGCTTTAATAAATATATCATCTGTATTTGTCAATGAAGGTCGTAGAAGATAGTGTTTAATTGGATGATCGTCAGTTATACCTATATGAATGATTGAATTTTTCTTTTCAAAAACTAAATATATACTTACTCGGTTGTTATTTTTTTTTGGACATCAGAATTATAGAAACTATCGCCATACTATCTGAAAGATTAAACAAATAACACATACTATATATATAACCTGAATATACTTACTTTTGCTATCATTTCCAAGGCGAACACTATGATTATCTAGCAGCTTAATAAAAACTACGGTTCTTTCTACTTATTTAAAATTATCTTACCACGAACATCGGATATAAATTGTCCTCTGTATGGAGCTCAATGATTTGTATTGAACAGATTGTTTTTCAATGTAGAAATATAGATGATGATTTATGAAACGTTGTACTCGTCCGAGACTCGTCAGACACCGATGATTTGCAATTATTTGGCGACGACACCAAATCAGCACTGTGTTGATTATTTTTACCTCGTGTATCTTGAAGACGAATACAAGCAAATTTTTCATATTTATTTAGTTTTATCTTACGATGAGCAGCTGAACTGATTCGCTTTCTAGATACGACTGGACCACCTCCAATAGACATTGCATTGTTCTATGTAGATCATAACGATTTTTTTTTGTTCTCCTCGGGGCATTTTATAACTTTGTTGTTTTAATTTGTACATAGTTTCTGTTGTTTGACGACAACAATTCAATACTACGATTCTCAACATCTGAACTCAAAGTACCATAATGTTCATTATCAATTCCATCAGGTTCATTGTGTAGCTCAGAAAATTCTTGACGCATTTGGTCAGTCTTGTTACTAGTGTTATGTTGTTTAAAACAGAGGAAAATAATTTCATTAAATATGCCATACTTTTTTAAACTATTGATAAATTTTCAAATATTTAAGCATCTAAACTACATACTTGACAAACGATTATCCTCACTCTATCAAAACATATAACTATCACTGTATTGCCTCCGAAAAAATAGAAAATTTTATTTGGTCCATATAAACAGCAACATTATACTAATAAAAATTCCAATCGATGGCGATTTTACAACTGAAATGTGCATTAACATTATCATTACTGTGTTCCTAATGATTGATATGACAGAAAGAAATTTGAAATCGCTTGTCTGTCATTACTAACAGTATCGACATGAATAGGGATGCGAGTTTACTCTTGGATGCATGCCTCACTGACACTTGCACAGCACAGAGGTTCGAACAAACTCTTAGAAAATCAATTTCGTTACCATTTATACAATAAGGAAGAAAACTATGCATTGAAGAGATATTAATGGTATTGATGAGTATTTCTCGAAAAGAGTTAATTACGACTGTTGTGAACAAGTGATACGAATGATTCGACTCATGCTATCGAATACGCATCATGTGATTTTTCTGTCCGAGTCAAGTCAAAGTCATCTAAATAATTTTATGGGGACTCACTCAGACCTACAGAAATATCTGTTAATGTTTGATGATCTTAATGAAAGTAGACTTAAGGACAAACAAAGTTTTTGATTTCTCATGCTGTAGTTTGTAGATGTTAGAGTCACTCAACAGTAGCAAAACTAATTTTGTACGACTCTTGCTTGTAAGAAAAGTCATACAATCAAATTAGATTTCAATCCTTGCTTCAAATGTTTGCCAGCAAACAGATATACGGAAAAGTATAAGTAGTAAAGAATATTCGAAACATATTTTGTTCAAATTCAATCAATAATAATCCTTAATATTTATGTGTAAAATGAGGATTCATATGTGAGCAATAACTGCTCTTTCAATTCTAATAATGTTTATATAATATTCTACATTTATGCAATTGATAACGAGTTATTTTCTAGCAAGTTAGAACATATATAAGTAATCTTAGGTCAAAATAATAAATCAACTAGTAAAATTTATTTTTCAAAAAGACTTTATGAAGAAAAATTCGAATGAAATCATCGTACCGTTAATACATGATCTCTCTAGTAAAAGATTACTAATACTATATGATTTTGTAATGTTGTTGGATAAAAACACAGTAGTGCTCTATAGTGAGTTTTTAGTCAAGTCTTCTGAAAAAGTTTCGTGTTCCTGTAGCAAAACTAATTTACCAATCTATATGTCATAACTACACTTACCAGACAATAAATGGATGCAACTGATGTTTACTAAAGATGCAGAATCAATCGGATTTGAATCTTCTGTTAAGTTCGTTTGATTCCATTTCTTTTCCTGAGCGATCTATATTGATGTTCATCAAATTCATTTTCTTCACGAATCTTCTTTAACTCATCAGTTAATTGAGATAATATCTTTTTCATTTCACTAAAATGTTGCATATGCTATTCAATCAATATTTGTCTACATTCTTCTGCTGCTTTCTTTAATTTTCTGAATCGATTCTTCCTCCAATAAGTTCACTTCCTGTATAAATAATAGATTAATGAGTGTTTGACGATATTCTTGTAAATAATTGTAACAAAAATCTTTGGACTTTGGCTGTGCCTATCCCTCTTATTAAATGGTTTGACGATGAAAATCGTATCTACGTATGGGAATATACAGAGCAGATCAAAATGAGTGAATATCTATGGTGTGAATACATACAGATATAGACAAACAAAAATAGATGGCTAGAAACTGATGCTGAAAAGTGAAGCGAAATCGACTCTCAAAATGCACTAGCATTACTCTTTCTCATGTGATCATTTATCATATCCTGTTATTCGACAAAATTTGAGAATGATTGTGTAACAAGATAGACTCAACTGTTGAAAAGAATTTCTATGGAGTTTTTCAATCGAAAAATACTCAATAAAATAATAAAATAACTTATAGATCGATCATTGCCAACAATACAAAACAAATAATATTCAACGTCTAATCTCAGAGAGCCATGATTCAAGCAGAAGAAGTGGGAAAAGTCTAACATATAACTTTATCATATGGCGGAAAGATTTTCATATGAGAAATTAAAATAGTTAGTTTTTGAATTCTTAATCAGTGATGGAAGTGTTTCTGTGCTTAGTTAATATGGTGAGATATATTAGGGTCTAATTACAACTTTCATCATTAAGCTAAGAAAATAAAATTATAGGGTTCTGTTGCCATGCTTAAATCAAGATATTTGAATTCCAGGATTTTTACACCGTATATTAAATACTCACAAATCAAAACTTTAGCAGAATTTTTTCTATTTTTTTTTATAGTTGAGTAGGGCTCGCCAAGTTACATAAGAAAAAGTATATTTCAAATGCAAAAACCCAACATTTTATGAAGAAGATCAAGATAACATTATTTTCAGATATCTTAAGAGAGAAACCTAGAATTTTAATACGTAGGTAACTGTTTTGCATTTGAAAGATTGCTTCTTCTCGTGCGCCTCAATGAACTATATCCGATCATGACAAAGAAAAAGACTTCTAACATTTTGATTTGTGAATACTTTAGCTATGGTATGAAAATCTTAAAACATGAAATTTACTTATGAGATCTAATACTCTATGTTATTGTGAATAAATTGCAAAAAATTTGGGGTCGTGCTCATGTAAATCAGAAAGATATGGAAGAAGAAACAGACCATACTAAAAACGTTAAATCAAAAAGTGGATTATATGTTACTAAATAATAGATCATCTTCATTTCAAATGAATCGAATTTTTTCTGTTTTTCCTTATCGATCGGTGCTCGTTGTTTGAAATGAACATTAAAACAGAGAGAGAAAAATAACGTTTTTCACTGATCGTTCGTATATAAGCAGTTGTAATAATAAATAGATCAATGGAGCAGAGATGTCCATCGCGGCTGAAAATCTGCCGCTGCCGCGCCGCGGCCTTAGAAAAAAAAAGCTGCCGCACCGCTGCCGCGCCGCGGCGGTTTATAAAAAAATGTTGCCGCGACGCTGCCGCACCGCGATGACTTATAAAAGAAACGCTGCCGCGCCGCTGCCGCGATGAATTATAAAATAAACGTGCCGCCACCGCGCCGCTGCCGCGACGATTTTCAAAAAAGTGTTTCTAATTTCACTGCTATGACTATATTTGACCAGAGATATGGGTACTAGTCCATCAGATTTATTCAATATCAGGGCGTTTCATTTGTAAATCGTGAAATTCTATTAAATTCATACAGTTTTTCAATGTCCTCCAAAAAAATCCTGCCGCTGCCGCGCCGCTGCCGCGATAGTTTTTTAAAAAACCTGCCGCTACCGCGCCGCTGCCGCGATGACTTTTAAAAAAATCTGCCGCTACCGCGCCGCTGCCGCGGTGATTTTTTTTAAAAACCTGCCGCTGCCGCGCCGCCACCGCCACCGCGGCAGCGGCAGCGGCAGCGGCGGCGGCGCGGCAGCGCCGCGATGGACATCTCTGCAATGGAGACTACAATAAATATGCAGTTATCTAAAGATAAAAAAATAATTCTGAATCAAAGCCTAGAAAATTGTATCTCATTCGTAGGAAAAGTTGTAAAAGACGAAAAATCTTGAATGTTTATTCATGAAAAAGTTATGGGGGAGGTAACGATTCGTAACGGTTGGTTACGAAAGCCCAGTAAGAAGCAGGGCTTTCGTAACAATGTAAAATGCATAAATCATAAAAAGCAGGGCTTTCGTATCGATTTTCGACAGGGCTTTCGTATCGTTTTAGACAGGGCTTTCGTATCATTTTTTAAAGAGCTTTCCTATCAAGTTTACAGGGCCTTCGTAACAATTTTGACAGGGTCTTCGTATTGGTCTTACAGGATCTTCGTACCGTTCTTACAGGGCTATCGTAACGTAAAAGGATTTGGTATGATCTTTAGTCAGATGTTGCTGACAGGATTTCATATTGAAATTAGTGATCTACCAAAATTATAACATAAATAGTTCAAAAGTAGAAAGTGAGAACCAGCATATAAGTATAGACAAATTTTTATCTTCTTGTAAATCTCTTTCTTAGTAACAACAAAAAGTAACAAAAACCAGGCAATACATAAAGAGAGAAGAGTGAACGAGAACAATATCCAGATAATAGAATTAAGAATACACATAATTGATTTCCTCGATTTTAAGTCAACAACTTTCACAAAAAAAGGCGTACACAATTCTGGAAAAACATAGAGAACTAGAAATAACAACGACATCTATGAATGTATACAAATAATTCATTCACAGTATAGTACCATGTATTTGGACCATTTAAGTATATAAAACTTGTTACGAATGGATCCCACTTAATGACTTAAGCTATATTTGTAAGCATGGGTATTCGTAACGAATGCCCTGTTCTTTTTAGTGCCAGTCTTTCATTTTAGTTATGAATGCAATAAGAACTTGATTACGAAAGCCCTGTCAAAAACGATACGAAAGCCCTGTATAAGTTTGATACAAAAGCCCTGTCAAAATTTGATACGAAAGCCTTGTCAGAATTTGTTACGAAAGCCCTGTCAAAATTCGTTACGAAAGCCCTGTAGTAAAAACGATGACAGGGCTTTCGTATTACGAAAGCCCTGTAAATTTCTCGTTACGAATCGTTACACCCCCAAGTTATGCTTTACTATTAATTAGTAATGGATTGACTATTGATGAATATAGATGTAACGGAAGCAAAAAACGAAGGAAAACA